GACAAACGAGGGGTGCGAACTAAGGGTGTCCAGTAGAGGACCGTAGGGACATCATACTGAGTAATTACTAACCAGTTGACTGGGCAGCCTTAATATCATTGGCATAATTAGTGCTTCTGATGCGAAAACTTGAAATAAGCATAGTTGTGATCCTGTAAAATAAGCATAGTTGTGATGCTTGTTTCATTTTTAACTTTTTTTTTTAAATTCTTTGATATTAGCTTCCATTAGCCTTGCAGTCAGCAACATGCAATTCGCTGGTTATCGTTGACGAATTGGGGCGCGGTACATCGACCTATGATGGCTTTGGATTGGCCTGGGCGATTGCGGAGTTGGTTTTTATTTGATTATTTGTGGCTTTAGCTCAGTTTTTCTAATTCGTTTTCGTGTAAACCTCTGTTTGGCGCACCACGGTTGCTGGTCGCTTTTTGACCTGCACAGGATGTGTTCGAATTTTAGGGCAAAGTTTCATAAAGGCTGGCTTCTGTCATTAAGAAATGTGCGTTAAAATTTTAGGGACATTCTGTGCCGTGTGAAATGCTTCTGTATCTATGCTACTCATTATCATGAACTGACCGAACTCAGCAATATTTACCCCAAGTTGTTAAAAAACGTCTGCACTGCGTTCCAAATTGACGAAAATGGTTGTTTGATTTTACTCTACAAAATTGTTCCTGGCATCGCTGGTCATTCCTTCGGCTTAAATATTGGAAAGATGGTTGGATTGTCGGAAAGCCTTCTTCAGGTACGTAATAAACACAAAGACGTTCAAACTTTCGTTTTACAGCTTGAAGTAGAGTGTTCTTGTGTACTTTATCTGAACTCACAGTTCTATGTGTGAAGGGGATTCAAGTGAAGAATAAGTTTCAGGCCGCTGGCAATATGTTGGAATCACTGGAACCAAAAAATATACACTTGTCTGCATATGAAAGAGAAAAATATCAGAAGATTAGCAGTTTGTGTGATGATGACTTGCGACGACAAATTTTGGAAAGTCCGCTTGATTTTTGTTAAAAATAGTTGTCCTCTGACACTTTGGTCAACTGCACTCTCATCATTTTAACTCATCTTTTGTCAGTTTTTGGTGTTATTGATATAACATTACGTGTATTTAGTCTGCCGTTGATTCTGCAGTTCTTTTTCTACTTTGTTTCCATGCATGGGGAATTGCTAAATTTGCTGCATTTTGCTGTATCGCTTTTATGATCGTTTAGCCTACCTCATGACCAACCCTTTAAACGTTCCTGTAAAGACGATCACTGGTAGTGTATTTGAACTCTTTGCTTAAAGTAACTTCTTCAAGAATTGGTTGTGAAATTCGGAGCACGTTCTGCGATCTTGAGCTTTTTAACATTTTTTGAGAGAACTGCGGCCCGCAGCTAGTGTCGGACGTTCTAGCTGAGCGTATAACGTAGGAAAATCCGTCAACAGTTGTGTTAATGATTGCTGGATTTGTAACAATCGCTTTACGAAAGCGCTTTGAGTACGCTGATATTAGTAGTTACGTTTCCTTTTGTGTGGGGTTGGCACACAGTCGTAGCACGGTTAATACATAGCGAGTTCCACAGCAGATTTGAATTTTAACTATTGCGAAATTCTAAATTCAGCAGATTTAAGATGTGCTTAAAAATAGTTGGAGAACTTGTAAGCAGAGAACTTTCGTTTTCTGGCTAACACTGGCAACAACTACGATCTTGCTCTTCGTCTGTGCTGTAGTGACCTCAGGCAGATGTTACCAGATATTTGGAAGAGAGTATTTCCTTGAATGCTTTTATTTGCCGAATGGCGATCTGCTTGTGGACAGAAATGTAGCACACATCTTATTTAGACGCACAGTGCAAAAATTTGTTCACATTTCTGTGCTTGGCATCTATATAGATGTGTGGGATAGGTGGAAAACGAAATCAATTTTGAAATGTTGTGGAACTGAAAATTCTGATTTGGTGAAAAGAGCGAACGAAACTTGTTGATGGAAGATATTCATGAATTTGGAACCTGTACGCGATGAGAATTTCGAAGAGTCCTCTGTGAACACTGATTTGTTAGTGAATTCACTGCGAACGAACGATGTTTAGGCGAATAGCGTTGTTGGCCAGCTAATTAACCTCCAGGAGGCTGTGAACTGACGTTTATTGATTGCAGCATTTATATCAAGAATGGCGCTTTAAAGTAACTATGTCGTCCAGACCTTA